TTAATTTCTAATTTTAGAATACTTCCACATTTTGTTGTTTCCCTGTAGACAATATCTGCTAATCAATTTTCTGTTGCTTTTCAATGGTTAGACTTTTTACTTTTTTTCTCTAGTCTCAGTGCAGTGTCTACAATCTGAAATAAATGTTGGATAGAAATAGGGACATCACTCTTTTTTCCTGATTTTTCCTTAAGGGCATACATTTTTAAACAACTTTGTTGAGATTTAATTCACATGCCATACAATCCACATTTTTAAGTGTATGAGTCCATGGTTTTTAGTATATTCACAGAATCCATTACCACAATCAGTTTTAGAACATTTTCATTATCCCAAAAGAAAGCCTGCAACCATTGGTCACCATTCCTCCAGACATTTTCCAAAGCAACCACACCATTTTATATTCTCTCTTTCTATTTATTTTCTCTCTATATTTTATATTCTCATCAGTTGTGTGTGAGGGTTCTAATTTATTCACATTCTTTTTTTTTTTTTTTTGAGAGAGCACACGCACATGAACAGGAGTGGGGATAGGGGGTAGAGGGGCAGGGAGAGAATCTTAAGCGGGTTTGATGCTCAGGGCAGAGCCTACGCAGGGCTCCATCTCTTGACCCTGAGATCATGACCTGAGCAGAAGTCAAGAATTGACTAAACCACCCAGGGTCCCCTCTTCACATCCTTCTTAACACTTGTTACAATCTAACTTTTCTATTGTAGCCATTCCAGTCAGGGTGAGTGATATTGCTCTGTGGTTTTGATTTGTATTTTCCTGATGGCTAATGATGTTGAGCACCTTGTCATGTGCTTAATAGCAATCTGTATATCTTCTTTAAAGAAATGCTATTCAGGATAGTTTGTCCGTTTTTAATTGGGTTGTTTAACTTTTTATTGTTAGGTTGTAATATATCTTTATATATGCTGGACACAAGTCCCTCATCAGAAAAATAATTTGCAAGAATTTTGCCTCATAATGTCTTTGGGTTGTCTTTGACTCTCTTGACAGTGTTCTTTGAAGCACAAAAGTTTTTAATTTTAATGAAGTCCATTTACCTACTTTTCGTTTTGTTGCTTGTGGCATATATAAATATAAATACATCTAAAGCACACTAATGTGCTTTCTTACAGTACATTTTACTTATTTTTTAAAGGTTTTATTTATTTATTTGAGAGAGAGAGAGAGAGAGAGCAAGAGGGGGGAGGGTCAGAGGGAGAAGCAGACTCCCTGCTAAGCAGGGAGCCCGATGTGGGACTTGATCCCAGGACTCCAGGATCATGACCTAAGCCGAAGGCAGTCGCTTAACCAACTGAGCCACCCAGGCGCCCCACTTACAGTACATTTTAAAAGATGGAATAAACTATAAGAGAAAAAAGTGACTACTTTTTGAAGGAAGAGATGAAATTAAACCTTGTTTTGCATATTTGACTTTGGGGCCACATAAATACTTTATATAATTATAGGAAAAAATTAAATTCTAAAAGAGCAATCTCTAAAAATTAAAACAAATCTTTGATTCCAATTTGTAGCATAACATCTGTTATTCTAGCATGACTCTAGCATACAGTAATTTGATTCCATATCCCCAGTGGAATATACCTGAAAGAACAAGAAGATTATAATAAACAAAGAAACAAAAACAGAAAACTGTTTTCAGTAATCAAATCACTATTATTATTTTGAGTGTTCTTTATAAAGTATGGAAGAATCATAGTATTTATTCCATATTTTATAAAGTGTGGAATAAAGAACTGTCCTTTTTCTGTTCCATGATCTCATCCGGAATACATTACATTAACTCTCATATCTCTAGGCTCCTTGGGGTTGTGACATTTATTTTTTAATCTTTTAAAATTTACGGATATACTAGCTTTGTAAAGCCACAGAAACAATGATCAACCCTGTAGCAATGAATACCCTAGCACCTAGAATATAGTCAAGAAATGCCATTTCCCATCAATATGAAGGAGGCTTGAATCAGGAAATGGACAAGAACCTCGAACAGGGTAATAATGCTTGATTTTTGGTTTTGTTTACAATTTATGTTTACAATTTCAAGTAAATTTAATTCAATACAATTCAAGTACTCTGGGTCCCTGCCATAGAACAAGTCCTATTTGGGGTATTATTTAGCCAATGAGCTCAGAAACAGAGGGCAGAAATGCGTAACGATAAAATAACACATATTAATATGAGTCTTCTGTTTTTCCTTTTCTAAACTCAAATTTAACTCCAATAAATTCCATCTACCCATTTATTTTTCCTGAACAAGCTATCAAGTTTATAAGAGGCCTTTTCACATAAAAGGTGAGGGTCTGATTTGAAATAGTACTAGAAATCTGACAACTGTTTAGAAACAAAGTAATAGCATTTCTCCTTCATGGGTGTTATGGAAATTTGATTTCCATTAAGTGTGTGTTTAGAAGGCAGGTATGTGGGCAGTGCTTCCTTAAAAATTGCAGCTGGCACCTACTCTCTGTAAAAATGAAATCATCTCTATTAGCATTCACTAAATCAGATACTGAATTTCACCTTTTAAACTCTGCTCCTATTTGGTACACCCCTTGTCTCATTTTGGAAATAAAGTTTCATTGGAACTTATCCACACCCTTTTGCTTATATATTATATATGGCTGCTTTCACTCTACAACAAAGTTGAGTAGTTGCAACTGAGAATGTATGACCCATAAACCTAAAACATTAGCTAGATAGTCCTTTGCAGACAGTTTGTCGATTCCTGACTAAGATCTACTGAAAACCAAGAAAGCTGGCAAAGACTACTAAGATCAAGTCAAAAGGACCCCTGAGTCAACCTGAAAAGGCTCCAAATGGTCAAATATGGCACAATACTAACTTAAGTATACATAAAAAACTGCAACAGACTGAAACATGTAAATGTATCAAAATCCACACCTTTATAATGATAGTAAAAAATAATAATCACTGTTCCCCAGGAAAGAATGCTAGCAAACCATTATTTCATTATGATTCATTATTTCCTCATTTTGAAAACTGTTAAGTTAGGAGAAAAAAAATCTGTCTTGCCTACCTTAAGGAATCTGTACCTCAAGATAACCAATCCGTTCATACAGGGAATTTTCACTTTATATAATTATTCCCATTAAAGAAAAGAGATATATAATTAATTAGACTATTTAGCAATCTCTAATGAAATAATAACAGAAAATACCACAAAAAGAGGCAAGCAGACATTATATGCCTCTTCATGGAAGTATACACTAGGATCAGTATAGTCATTTTGCCCAAAAAAAGGGGGAGTGGAAATGGAGGGAACACACTAAACCTGATGAAGCCTCTAGATCTAACCTTGAACTAGAGAAATATAGAAAAACATGTTAATGATGACAGACTGTGGGAAACTTTACTGGACAAATCACCCAGCTTCTTCAAGAAATGCGTTGAAAGGAAAGAGAGAAAGAAAGAAAAAGAATGAGGGGCACCTGGGTGGCTCAATCGGTTGGGCGTCTGATGCTTGGTTTCAGCTCAGGTCATGATCTGGTGGTCGTGAGATAGAGCCTGGAGTTGGTGTCAGGCTCCATGCTCAGTGGGGAGTCCGCTTTAGATTTGGTCTGCCTCTTCCTGTGCCCCTCCCCCCACTCACATGCTCACTCTCTCTTAATTAAACAAGAATAAGAAACTATAGATTTTTAAAAAGACTTATGAACCAATCACAATGCATGGATCTTATTTGGGTCCAGATTCAAAGAAATCTTAAAATTGAAAACGAAGTTATTTGCCCTGGGGGGGAATCTAAACTCTAACTTGGAAATCTGATATTAAGGAAATATTATTTATTTTTTTAGGGAGATTAATGGTATTTGATTAAGTTCTTAAAAGACCATCATTTATATACACATTTATGGATGGAACGATACAGCTTCTGGTATGTACCTCAAAATAATCCTTGGTAAGTAGAGGTACAGATTAAACAAGATCAGCCATGAGTCAGTCATTACCGAAACTGAGCAAAGTGGTGCACAGACGTTCACTGCTGCTTTGTCTATTTTTGTACATGATTGAATTTTTTACAATGAAGAGTTAAGGAAAATGCTGATCAGGGCTTAGTAAACTGATTTTACCACACACAAAAATCAGGTAACAACCCACAGCTTCAAAAACCCTGTAACAGCATATTAATAATTTCCTTAAACTTTCCAACAACCAGCAAAATACCTTGAATAAAACATTAAATCAGAAAATATTGTTAGAAAAGTGATAATACAAGGGACAACATAGCAAAAACTATTGAAAATTTAAAGTCCACATAAACACTGTTTGAGAAACTAGCATTCATTCTACCAACAAACTCACTGATAGGCTAAATGACATATAGTCAAGGATATTTATCCCACCATTGTTTATAACAGCAAGACTAATAGCCATCTGAAAGTTCATTAATAAGGGTTAGTTCTTAAAATTACGGAATTATGTAATACCGGGCAGCCATAAAGTGAAGAAGTCAATCATGTACTAAAGGATATATAGAATTCCCCTGGAAGTACTCAAGAACCTAGGCACACTGGCTGCTTTCTAAGGAGGAAAAGCTCATGATTAAGGGCAGGGCTGGGAAGAATTCACTGTATACTCTTCTGAACCTTTTAAATACTTAGAAGATGCTCTCTCAAACAATGAAATTGAAAAGAAAATACTCAAAGTCAAGGCTTTCAAATTTCACTCTGTGAGATGTATTCCATTCCTTCAAAAATCTTAGAAAAAGACTAAGTATAAAAATGGAATTGAAATGTTTGCCCGGTGAATATGTGTACCTCAGGTCATAAGGAACAAAATGGGAGTGGAATAATCTCATTGGGTCCACTCCTTCTGGCCCCACTACTCTTTGGAATAGCCAGGCCCAAAGAGCAGAACACTAAAAGGATCCTTGTTACGCTCCTTGTTACGGAGTTTCAAAAGAAAGAAAGCAATGTTCCCGTATTGTGAAAAACCAGAAAACACTTCAGAGACAGAAGAAAGAATAACAGCTTACCTTGGATAAAACTCTCAGTTGTCCAACAGCGGCTCTTCCCTTAAGTCTCTGGTCACCTGTGTAAGACAAGTCCATTGATTGGTAAGAGATAAAGAATCGTGAGACACCAAGTCTTTCTTTGAGCCCAGACTGACTTGTTAGAAACAAGCAACTACTTCCACCCCACTCCCACCCCTCTTGAACTAAATAAACATTCAGAGGAAGGTCAGAGAGAGACTTGAGCAATGCTGCCCTCTCTGAGAACCAAAGTGGAGGTGGAGAATCCCCACAAGTCTCCCCAGGTGATTTCCTGAGGGAAGAGACTGGAATCTTACAACCCCAGCTTTTTTCCTCCCCTTTTCTCAGGCTCTCCCCCGAACTTGGGGCTGTTTCTGGCTCTAAAACCTCAACATGAAATCAGGTTTGTGACTTGGAGATAAATCTCTTTATCTGGAATCTTTTAATCTAGGATTCACCTTTCTATCTTCCCACATCAGACAGGGACATTTCCAGGGAACCTGGGCCCCCATGGCTACAAGGAGAGGGGGCAGCTGTAACAGCACCCCAGCCAGTCTTAAGGCTTACTTGCTTCACTTGCTTCAAGTTAACACACTCCTTGCTTGCTGACTTAAGTCCCTTGATCTGCGACAGAACTAGTTTGCTTTCTTTGAGACAGGCAGACCAGTGGCCTTCAGGAATAAAGGACCAGAACCTTCCTAGGCCACAGAGGCCAGCAAGTCTGTTTGAAGTCCCTTTAGTTTTCTGATTAGCCCAGCAATCTTTTAGCAAAATGTTTTTCTCTTTTAAGGTCACAAAAATGATTTTACTGGCCTCCCTCTGCGCATCTGTAGATTTTGCCCTCCTTTTCAGAAAAAACAGAGTACTCTTGCACAACCCCTGGGTACAAAGGAACAAGACTTTCTTGCACAACCCACCGAAACGCAGAGCACCAAGGAACTACAATTTCTTGTACAACCTCCGAGGACCAAGATTAACTCTATAGCTGGCATCAAGCCTGCATGTCATCAAGAAATGTCACAGACCACTGCACTCCCTTAACCGATTAAACCCCTTTAAAAATCTCTGGGCCAAAAATAAACAACAAAACGAAACAAAACAAAAAAATAAGTGAAAATAAAAATAAAAATCTCGGGGCCAGGAAGAAACCTGAGTCGGCCTTTGGACAAGAGTCTGCCTCCTTCCCCAGTGGCCGGCCTTCCTTAAAAGGAATTTGATTCCTTTCCAGTCAAAACTCTTGAGTATTGGCCTTTCCAGCCACCGATAGCCCAATCTGGGTTTCCGCAACGCAGCCAGCCACAGAGACCCCACAACCACAAGCTTCCAGAAACCCTCAAACCCACAACTGGCCTCAGGGTGACCATTTCGCTATCATTGCTCCCTCCTCCACCCCACGCCCCCCATTCGGCTCCCACCTAGACACAGTTGGGAGGGGCCAAACTCATAAAAAGTCAATGACACAACTAAAGGAGGAGTCAATCTCAAAGCTTTACACAAGCACTCACACAGCTGGAGACACAATTACCACTCCGTCATGTGCTCACACATAATCATGCAGTCCCACAGGCACATTACGTCACACACACACACACTGACGTGTTAATGGCTGAGGCTCCGCACACAGCCGGTCTCGGTCCCCGGGCTAAGACACGCCTCACCTTCAGCCTCCCCGGCGTCCGGCTCACGCTCCGCCAGACCGGAACGAACCCACGGGCCGCGCTTCCCCGGCCGGGGCGCTGTGCAGCTCGCTCCAGCACAACGGCGCTGACCACCTTAGAAGGAAGTGACGTCACTCGCGGAGGCCTCTGGAAAGTGTAGTCCAGAACACGAAAGACCCCCGCAAAAAGCGTTCGACCCGAGTATTCCTCCCCGGGCGCCAGCCCGCCACCCCGACTCCTCCATTCTCTACGGCGAATCACTGCGACCGTGCAGTCCCGGCTGCGCACCCGGCACCCCAACTCGCATTCAGCCGGAAGTTTATTTCCGCCCCGGGGACTTCTGGGACCTGTAGTGTGGCGTAGGAGCCCTGGAGGGCGGAGCGGGGCGGTCGGGAACCCTCAGCCCCAGCTGGGAGCAGGCTGTGGGAGGTGCCGCCGCAGAGTCCCGAAGACCTGCGGGGATTGGGGGCGATCGGAGTCTGACGAGAAGAGGAATGCCTGGGCCCTAACTGCGGCCAGGCTTGTGGGGGAGGAGAGAGAAGGAGAGTGACGCTTTAGTGCTGGTCTGAGTGCGTTTGCTTCGGTTTATCATCTCGGGTGTGGTTGTGTTGCTATGCCTCAGACTGTTTCACGATTTCTTTTTAAATAATAAAAAATAAGTTGGGTGTTTAAAGTACAGTTTTTGAATGTAACACACAAAAAAGTGCCCAAATCATTAGAGTGAAGCTGGATACATTTTCATAGATTGCTCAGACTTGTGTACTCGTGTAGCATCCCAGAAGTCCCCTACCTGCCTCCTGTAAAGTCTCCATCTGATTTACAACATAGATTAGTTTTGCCTGGTTTTGAACTTTATATAAATGTCATCATATTGTGTGTACACTTTTCCCCCCTTTAGTCTGACTTCTTTTGCCAAATGTTTTGTTTGTGAGATTAATCTATAAAATTTGTTTATTCTCATTGTTGACGGTACTTGGCTTGTTTTCAGCTTGGGGCTACTAGGAATAGTGCTCCATGAACATTCTTGTTTGTATTCTTTTGCTTTGTATACGTGTCGTCTTGGTTACATATATATTTAGGAGGGGCGTTGCTGGGTCATAGGATACACATATATTTAGCTTTAGTAGATATTGCCAAACTGTATTCTGAAGTGGTTTCCCAATTGCAGTTCCACCAGCTTTGTATGATAGTTTCTGCATCCTAACACACTTAATATTGTATGCCTTTTCTTTTTTAAACTTTCTAGTGGGTGTATGGTTGTTTCGATTTGAATTCCCCTGATGTATACATTTGTATATCTTCTGTAACAGGCAAACGCCTGTAACGCCTTCAATATTGCCTCTCCAAACCTCACCATACGATTTAAGAACAAATAGGAGGGGTGCCTGGGTGGCTCATTTGGTTAAGCCTCCAACTCTTGATTTCAGCTCAGGTCATGATCTCAGGGTTAAGAGATGGGAGTTCTGCTTTGGCTCTGCGCTGAGTGTGGAGCCTGCTTAAGAGTCTTTCTCTCCCTCTCCCTTTGCCCCTCCACTGTTTGCTTGTGTGCATGCGCACATGCATGCGCACGCACTCTCTCTCTCGAAAAAGAAAAAGAAAAAAAAAAAAACAAAAAGGAAAGGAGTAAAGGCAAAGGTCTGTCCTTCCTGAGGAGGGACCCAAACCACATGCACTAGTCAAAGTATGTTGGGGACTTGACAGTGACCAAGTTTGCCAAACACGTTAAGCTCTTATGGACTTGGAACCTAAGTTACTATGATGCCAAGAAATGCCCTTGGTCATTGTCAGAAAAATTATTTGAACTGGATTTAGAAATAATTTTCCAATTGACAGTATAAATTTATAGGTGGGTTCTTTGGGGCCAGTATCAACTCAGGTTGTTGTGACTGATATTGCTGAATGTATTGTGGAAATAGATGTGTTAATTATAGATAATAATTCCCTTGATCATAAGGGATGTTCCCAATGGGGAAATGCCACAATTAGAAGAATGGTTGTGGCACAAGTACACAACCCAGCGCCTATGAGACCTCTCCAGGGTAGTCACATAGTTACTGCGAAGCAGTACAGGAGACCGGGGAAGGGGAACAGGGGAGTAGAAGGGGTCAGAGGTCACTATAATGATCAAATAGCTAATGGCGGCAGAGGTGTTTAAAGAAACTGTATCACATAATAGCCCTCAGTGACCAGGGGAAAAGCCAATATTATTTGGCATGTCACCATGGACTACCACAAGCTCAATGTGGCAGTAATACACTGGGCACATGGAGTTCCAGATTTAACAATCACAGAATCCATAATGCAGACCGAAGTTGTCTTGTTTTACAGTTGTAGACATTGCTAATGCTTTCTCAGCATCCCATTGCCTCCTGAAGATTAGAGCCAATTTGCCTTCACAGGTTCTAATTACCTTTATCATGTTGCCATAGGCTATCCTAAACTCTAAAATTTATCACTAGTGGATAGGCTTAGCCCTAAAAAAAAAGCTGAAATATCACCGGATATGTCTTGGTAGCATTACATCGATGGCATTAGTCTGACCGAAAGGGCTAAAGACAGCATGTAGACTGCCTTTCATGAGATGAGTCAATATATGAACCAGAGCTGGAATATTAACATCCCAACAAGATACTGGGGCTAACCACACAAGTAAGCCACTTGGGAACCGTGTGGGCTGATGCTCAGAGAAAAAGCCCTGACCTTGTTAAAGAAAAACTGTTGATCTTAATACCTCTAGCAAACAAAAATGAGGCACAACATCTGCTGGCTTGTTCCGGGGTTGGAGGCACTCCATACCTCACGCAAGGATGAGAATCTTGCTGAACTCATCATATCGGATCGCTCAAAAGAGGCCCTGTCACACTGTAGATGCAGCCATGTCAGATGTAGTGTCTGGCCCAGCACTTTGGACTTCTTGGGACCTTTGGAACACTAACATTCCTGAGTATTCCTGGGCCTGGTTCATGCACATATCAGCTAAGGTAAAGGGAGGTGGGATGTAGGAGACCACTGCCACTGTGCAGCCTCAAAGAAAACTGCTTAAAACTGTGTGTGGCAAAGAGAATTCTGATTAATGGGAGGAGCTGTAGGCTGTTGTGCTTCCCCTGGAAAATATTCCTCCAAATGCACCTTGTGACATTTTCACTGATTCATGGGCAGTAGCCAATGGACTGGCAATGTGGTGTGGTGCCTGGCAGTGGGACAACTGAATGATCAAATTTGAGCCTCTTTGGGGATGAAGCGTTATGATAGCAGACTGCACAAGACCCACATCCTGTTTGTGACCATGTGGATGCCCATGGTAAAGGACCTTACAAAGATGAACATCAACGGAATCCACAAGATGATCAGATAAGGACCCAGGTAAGGACCATAGCCACCTGGACACACCATCACACAGGGCATGAGAATTTATCATTCGTGACTAAGCCTAAAAATAAGGCACAGTGATTCCAGTACATGAGGTCAAGAAAGCCCAGCAAATATGCCCAGGATGTCAGCTATGCAGTTGAGTAGCAGAGAGAACTCTGGGACACATAACCAAGGATACCAAACCTGGCCGGTGCTGGAAAATAGACCATATGGGCTCTCTACCCTCCACTTAAGGGTACTGCTGAGTGTTGATGACAATAGACACCTTTTGAGAGTCCAATACTTCCATCCCTGTCCACAGAGCAGATGGGCAGCCATACTATTCAGGGGTTTTAGATGGACAGTGTTATGTTGTTATCTATTTGTATTCCCTAAACGTATCCAGTCAGACAATAGTGCCACTTTACAACAACAACAACAAAAATGCAGCAGTAGGCAGCGACCTGGGATATTCATTGGAACTTTCATGGCCGTGTCATACCTAGGTAGCAAGTGCCATTGAAAGATGAAATGGACTCTTAGGGGCGCCTGGGTGGCTCAGTTGGTTAAGCGACTGCCTTCAGCTCAGGTCATGATCCTGGAGTCCCGGGATCGAGTCCCGCATCGGGCTCCCTGCTCGGCAGTGAGTCTGCTTCTCCTTTGGACCCTCCCCCCTCTCATGCTCTCTCTCTCTATCTCATTCTCTCTCTCAAATAAATAAATAAAATCTTAAAAAAAAAAAGAAAGATGAAATGGACTCTCAAAAGAGAAATTGGAAAAGATAATCGGACAACCAAGCCCCGCTCCCTGTGGAGCACACACTTTAGACAGGCAATTTGGGCTTTAAATGTGGCAATTCCCCCAAAATGGTAATTTTCATTTAAATAGAATCTGTCTGAACTCTACACCTGAAACTAATGATGTACCATATGTTGGCTAATAGAATTTTAAATAAATAAATAAATAAATAAAATGTTTGATTATAAGGAAGAGGAGGGAGGCTCTAAGAAACTCAATCCACATAATCAACTTCTCGCTCTACATTTTTTCCCCCCACATTTACCGCTGGAGAACAGGGGTTGGGAAACTCTAACCCAGTACTTCTTTTGTCTCCTGGCTGTCCATGTTGGATTTGGCAATTGTGGATATTGATGACAATGATCATGAATATGAGGTGATGACTGCTAAGGTAATGTTGGCTGGCATACACATCAGGGTGAGGAAGTGGTTCTAGGATGGTCCAAGGTATAGAAAGAAACTGCAGGGGCACTCAGGGACCAGTTGTGTGGTGTAAGACACGGGGAAGGTTGGAAAAAGAATGACGTGATTGCTGCAGACACTGGTGGGGGACCAAAAAAAAGGAACAACTCTTATTGGGGAGAGAGCACTTTAGACCCTTTGAGGTCTGGGTAGAGGTAAGGACCAGTGATCCTTCTCAGCTCTTATCCCTGCATTTGGCCAATTTATCTCAAACTGCCACCATCACCTCAAATTAACTGTTGACCAGTAAGTGATAAATGCAACAACTACTAACTTCAGAAAGTAAGAGCCTCCGCTTGAGATGACAGAACAAGGCTATCATTCTGGACACTGGTATGATTTTCTTTAACCTATTCTCAGACTCTTTTCTTGTTTTTCAGACTATTAGTGGTTCCAAACACTCTAAGATGAGTGGTAATGACGACTGTATTACCCTGGACTTCCTGCTGGCCAGTACAGGCGATACATGGGCAATTTCTAACATTTCTTGCTACAGTTGATCAATGAATAAGGAAAAACAGAGCAACCCATTTTCACCTTAGAAAGTAATGTGGCGGGCGCCTGGGTGGCTCAGT